TTGCACCAGTCCTGGTTCTAGACTGGGAGTTTAACGCACATCTGTGACTACAAGATATATCCCATCCTACTGTATAGATGATCCCGCACGCAAGAAATGGACTCAAGAGTAACAAACTCCATCTACTCATACAAACCACCTTAAAACCTCAAGCAACTAAGTAAAACCCCCCAAGCATAAGTAAGCATAAAACCATTAAAAAAAAAAAAAACCCCCTCATCCAAACGCCCCTCTCCAAACCAACCCCTCACACGCACAAACAGTACATACCTCCCAAAACTCAACACGCCACCAAACAGACTGGAGCATCCAAAACACCACTGCTCCAAACAAACACACATTCCCCAGTCTCTTGCCAGGAAGAACAAACAGGTACTTTTATCCCCGACACCACCAATCACCACCTTCGCCGTCCTCAAAACTTCCATCCAAACAAGGCACTGGGCAGCCCACCCCCTCATCCATGATCATGGATAGAATGAATCCTCCGGATCCTCCGCCCATCCAGAACAGCGGGAACACACAAAACAAAAAAAAAAAAACCTTGAGCATCGATTCGGGAGCAACATGCAGGTGATATGCAGAGCTAATGCCGGCTGATGTGGTGGTGCCCTTTTGACGGGGACGGGGGCCACTCAAAGGGAATCCGTTGCGCAGTATGCTTTTGGTCTTTTGTATGGTTGGTGGGGAAGGGTCGGTTTCGTGTTGGTAGATATTAGCAAGAATTTTATTTGCTCGAGAATTGTACGAGTAAGAAAGGTGGTGTTTGGGTGGGTGGGGCGTGAAGGAAGGCAGCGTGGGTTTGATGTACTGTACTGTGTAGTATGTACTGTAGGTATAGTGCAGAAGAAGGGGATTTTATTTGTGCTGAGGTAGGGTGGAGGAATATCGCCTATGGTTTGTATGTTGATACTTGCTGGGGTGAGGTGGGACTACATTAGAGTCCAAGACCGAGAGTCTAGAGTCAAAGAATTGTATATTGTATGCGCAAATGTCCACACCACAGGCCTGACGAAAGACAATAAGGGGGTCTGCATATACGGAGAGATCCCTCGACCTCATAAAACCCAACCGAGCAGCAGATCGACCCCGTGGATTCACTTGATATCAGCCCGCACCTTCTCCACGAACGCAGTCAGATCCTCTAGGAGATCCGCCGGCCGTTCAAGCGCGGCGAAATGTCCTCCCTATCGTAACGATTAGTTGTATAACTACTTATAGGATCACCGTCACCAAATGAGGAGGATGGACCAACCTTCTCATGCGTATTCCAGAACACCAAGTTCCCAGTCGTCTCGATCCAGGCCCGCGGAATCGGCATCAGCTCCTTAGGGAAGTAAGAGAACCCTAACGGTTTCTTGATGTACCACCTAGGGTTCTCGGCGAGCTGAAGCTTAGGCATGGGGACTTGCTGCGCGCGGTGTTACTACCCAAAAAGGAACGAAGGAAAGCGCAACTCGTAAGCACAAGCTAAAACATACCTCGCGATAATGGTGGATACACCGAGGGAACGACTCGGTGAGCCAGTACAACGACACCGACTCGAGGATATCGTTCAGAGGAATGGGGTCGTCGGGCCAGTCAAGGAACTTTTCTCCGACCCTAATTATTCGCCGATAAGCTTTCCAAGAAGTTGGGGAGAACCACAGAAAGCCGTGTACCAAGGAGCAAAAAAGAAAAAAACTCACCAAGCAAGCAAAGCAACCGGGTTCGCCGAAAGGACGTTCCCGATGGTGCTGGGCCGACTGCCATGCTCGAAACCGTAGGCGGCACCGTAGGTCATGAACCACTCCCCGCGAGCCAGGTTCCGTTTCTCGAACTCGGAGATGGACGATTCCTGCACGTGGGCGGGTTTGCCCATGTAGCATGCGTTCACTGGGGGGTTGTTCTTCCGCGTTAGATCGTGGACCCAGCCCCTCCTGTCACACTGGTAGTACTGATAGGAACTTACAATGAACCGCTGCTCAGTCGAATCAGTAAGCCGTACTTCGACTTCACCCCGAGGGCAACACAAGACTTAAAGAGACATACCTTTGCAAGCATCGTAATCCACCGCCATGATCCGACCAATCCTCGACCCAATATCACCCCCCTGTGCCACATAGCCCCCCTCAAATCCGAGGTTGACCATCACCTGATTGATGACCCGGGCCGTGTCCTCTCCCGTGAAGTCTCGGTCCAGAGGGGGGCCGGAGGACAGTGTAAAGCCTGGAAGGGACGGTACCACGACGTGATACGGAAGCTCCTCCGGGGAGTACTTGTCCTTGAGGAGAGACAGGAGGGGCAGGAACTCCAGGAAGCTACCGGGCCAGCCGTGCAGTAAGACTATAGGGATCGCATCAGCTTTCTTCGAGAAGAGACCGACAAAGTGGATGGTCATGTCCTCGATCTCGTAGGTGAACTGCGGAAAGCTGTTGATGCGCTGCTCTGTAGGTCGCCTTTGGCCCTCCTTGGTGATTAGCGGGATTCGATGTACCGGGGTAAGACTTTGGAGGGAAATGTTTACCAGTCGAAGCTTTTCCATGCCTGTCGTGCTTCAAGGAGCCAGTCTCGAGTGATACCATATTTGCGATCTTCCTGCGAGCTTTCGTAGGTGGGTGGGGCGACCTTAGACAGCTTGACCAGCACGAGGAGCTCTTCGATCTGTGCGTCGGAGATGTGAAGCTGGTAGGGCTTGGGAGGGACCTTGGCTCCGGAAGGGATGTCGCTGTATGCGAGAGCCATTTTGTCTTGGATGAGGAGACTTACGGCTGTGGTCAAAATGGAGGACTGGGTGAATAGATGGTTGATGGTGATGTTGATGTTGATGTTTTTATTATGCAGAACGCATGATGTAACTGCGGGGTCGCGGGACTCATTAATTATCTCTTCTATGCAGCACTGACAACCCATAAGTCAATCAACTGATTGACCCTTACTCCATGATTATTAATATTCCCAACTGGGGTCTGATCGGTGAAGTCAAGAGGTAAGTGTGGCTCGAAGTGACCCAGTGTCGGTGGATCAATGGTAATATCGGCTAGAGCAAGTAAGCCTGCACTAGATTCTTTATGTGGCATGGTGTTGAGTCTAGGAATTAGGCACAAGGCTGCAGTGACCAAAGCGCAGTAACGGTAAGGTGTTGACATGGAGATGATTCTGTGCAAAGGTACATGGTCTATCTGTGTAAATGTGATATAGATCTTTTGTTTGAGTGCTTGGTGCGCGCCCGAAGATACTAATTAATCGCTCACCCCTTCCCTGCTCGTCTGTGGACCTCCAAAACTACCCAAGGAAATGTCTATTCTCACGAGAGAAGCGTCATAGAGCTGGCAGCAAAATGTGTACCGGCTCTTTCAATACAATAGAACCTATATAGTCGTCTCCACCCTCAACCCGGTCATTAAACCCACAGCACGATCCTCCACCGGACTCAGCACTTGTACTCTTTCCAGTCGCCTCTATAGTTCTTTGCGCCGATGGCATCACCTCGGTGTTCGCGGTGAACCAGAAGGATTGAGAAGTAAGTAACATAGAGGTAGGTGAACATTATGCCCCTGCCAGTGGCTGGCATCTGCACCACTACACGGTCGTCCAGCCGATCTCGCCGAAGAATAGAGCAGTGGTGCGGGGGTTCAGCTCGCGACCGAGATAGAATGAAAGCCCATGTGCCCCGTACTCCCGCCATTGACCACGTCTCGCAGGTATCGGTTGGGAGAATTCGTCTTCACACTAAAGCTGCGGATATAAAGGGATATAGAGAATGCGTAAGAGATGATGAGATTGGCGGTCAAGAGCTGCACATAGTGGTCTGTAATATAAATCCAGATGGCGAGGTGGGCATGATGTAGATAGATCCAACACCTGCGATAACTAGAGAGACTGCACTTGCAGAGAATGCTGCAATGAGAGATATCAGTTCGCATCGATCTCCAGGAAAGAGCATTTGACAATCGCTCGTCGATACATACCATTGAGGCGATACAGTAGCAGGCGGCCATGGCTCACCAATTTAGTGCCATAGACTTCTTTTGCAAGAAGGATCCTCCATAGGAAGAGGCCAAAGACATAGTAGGCGGCGGTGAAAAGAATAGCTTCTCCGTTCATGAGCTTGCTCATACTAACATCCTGAAGCCCCGTATCTGCTTTCACATTTGCCCAATCATGGGCCGAGAGAGAAGAGAGGGTACGGGACAACCAGCAATATCATTGCAACTAAATGAGGAGAGGTATTTCAGCAATGGCAAACAAAAACTGATGACTGCGACATTCAAGCTGTAGCAAGAGGTTAGCTTTGACTCTAGATGGGACGGAATGGCAAGGCATACAGTCCGCCAAACTTGTACTCGGTTGTCATGAACAGGCCGAGTGGATCTATTGGACGTTGAATGGCAATTCGCAGATGACACGCCAGAGAAACACTCTGAAACTCGCATAGATGCCAGACAAATCCCTGAGTGCGGCCCACTCAGATAAGGTGAATGCCAGGGTTGAAACTTTGTGGAGTAAATCACATCAAAAGCGACAACATCGGTACTCTGGCGCTCATCGAACAGCCCTACATGCGAATGGAATATCTTAGCTTGTCAGTGTCTATCAGTCATTTTCCCGGTTGACTGGAAATCAATATCTGGAAATGTGGTATACACTTGCGCTTCATGTCAACAAGAACCTCAGTTGGGCGTACATTGACGGGAACAATGCTACCTCTGTGAAGCTCGCGAAAGTGGATTCCTCGGAGACTGGAAGGTTTGGGTACGCAAACGAGATTCAGTATCAGAGGCTAGTATACTTGAAAGCCCTAGTCACGATTAGCTAACCATAGTACGAATTGTGTCTACGTCCGGTCTGTGTTGCGAGTTTGTTGTTTGAGAATCTTAGGTTCTGCAGTCATTCAAACAGACAAAGCTCCGGCTTGAAAGCGACATGTTTGGCTCAAAGGATATGGTTCCAGTCCATTTGGAACGAACAATGCTCAAAGTCAGACTGGACTTCAATGTGAGATGACAGGCTATAGCGGCTTATATCGCGGCAACGACTTCCCGCAACACCTTCACAAGCGACTTGAGTTCCTCCTCTGATCCAGGTTAGCAGATTAATCGATCTCTGTAATAGCTCGATGCTTACCCGTATTATAGTGCAGCATACTGATCCGCACGACGCCGTCCTCAATGTCATCCAACCCAATGATATCCTTGACTAGTCGGTGACTATACATATGCCCACTTCGGAAGCCAAACGGCGATCGCTTCTCAACCTCCTCCACAAAAGCCTGACTCTTGATCCCCCTCACCACAAAGCTGATGACAGGAACCCGAAGCTCCTTGCTTGCTGATGGTTCTCCATAGATTGTGATAGGTTCCTCTTCGTTCAGATAGTCCAAAACGATCTTCTGCAGCTTCTCCTCAAAGGCAGCGATCTGATCCCACGCTGCAGAGAAATCAGAACCGAAGTACTCGAGAACCCGAGGGATGCTTTGTGTCAGCTCGTAATTTGCCGAGGCCAGATTGAGCTTTAGATCTAGTGTTTCTGTAGATTTGAAATAGTGGCACAGAGGGCTGATCTGGTCATGGATCCGCGATGCAGCGTAGAGTTGGGCCATATGAGGTCCGTAGACTTTGTACCAAGAAAATGCCTGTCCTTGTCAATATAAGCTGATGTGCCCCTAATGAGCTTCGGACTTACGTAAAAGTCAACGTCAAGGTCTTTGACATCAACCTGTCGGTGTGGGGCGAGTGCGACACCATCGACGCACACTAGGGCCTAGAAGAGGTGAGATTGTAACCCAGATATCGTGTCGCGAAACTCATACTCGGGGATACTGATGCACTATTCTGGTGATCTGCTTGACGTCACTGATAGTGCCGGTGATGTTCGAGGCGTGTGGAAACGCCACGAGCCTTGTCTTGTTGGAGAGCAACGCTTTCAGCTCCTCAGGGTCACAGATGGGATTCTGACGGTCGGAAGCCGACCACCATCTCACTGTCAGTCCCAGCCGCGTGGCGATTCTATCCCAAGCGGCGGAGTTGGCTTCATGGTTCAGTTTCGAGATAATGAGTTCGTCTCCGGGCTGAAAGTCAAGGGCGGTCGATAGGTTGTGAAGGAGCTGCGTGGTCGAAACTCCCAGGCAGATCTAAGGAGAGCTTTATCAGAGTTGATCTAGTCTGAAGTCGATACATCGTACCTCCTTAGGCTTTGCGTTGATGAACTTAGCTGCTGCTTCGTAGCCTTGACCGTAGGCGGCGGTTGACGCTTTGGCTATTTTGTAGGTGGCGCCCAATTGAACGTTGGTGCTCGAGAGGTAGGTCGAAATACTGCAATAGAGTCAAATGAGAATGTGTTCATTCCACAGTGTTTCGAGATCACCTACGATTCAATGACCGAGTCCAAAGCCTGGCTGCCTCCGGCATTGTCGAGGAAGACCTGTTCCTGGTTCAGAGCTGGAAAGCGAGATCTAGCCTCAGGAATGCTGAAAGTCATTGTGTGAGCAACTTAGATGTAGCGATTATGGTAATTGAGGAACGGCTGCGATGAAGAAATTGTTTGGGTAGAAGGAGAGAGGGGAGCAAAGGCAAGAAGAGGAGTGACCCCGCTTGATGACAATCTACTTTCCACCCCACGCGATAATCCACTTCATTCCTTCCCCTCTTCCATCTTCTCATCTCGGAGATCCTTTCCGTTATCTATCAGCTACACACCACCATACAATGCTTTGTGCCATGTGTTGACTGCCTGTACTCGATAAGGAGGGATGACAGATGGTCTTCACTATCTTCATCGAATCCCTTGTTGTTTCGCCAAGACCTCGACCGTCAACGCCTCTTTGATGCATGCGGAGAAATGGTGACATTCGTGTGTTACTCCGACAAGACGCTCTCCAATGTCTTACTCACCTTTATCGAATTAGTTATCATTGACTGCAAGATTTGACGATGGTCCTCCCAATGAGAGCCAATTATTAAGCTCATATTATCCGAGTGCCACCCATGGATCGATCCAGATGCTCAAAGTGGGCGAAGTTGGAGTTTATTCCTAACCGAGCACTAGACAAAGAGCTCTAAATCAGCCCAAATCCATTTCGAAAGAGCTGACACCTACTGGAGCCCTCCGCCCTCCGACCTTCTTATCGGCCTGCCACTGTCTGATCGCATGTTGCATCCAATCGTGGGTCGCCACAGCTATCATCCAGCAGGGGTGCTTATCTTGCTTATCTGACCCTGGGCCATCGATCATCAATGGGAGCCTGCAGGGTATTATAGTCGATCGCCGGGCTACATGCAGTTGCTTCTCCACTGGGGCGCGACACCGTGTGCGACAATCTTATTATCCCTTACGTTGGGTCCAATATCATTTGTTTTGTGCACCCATCTCTCAACCGGGAACGACATCTCCCCAGCATCTCAGTCCATGACGAATGACAAATATCAGCAGATATGAAGTTTGATCGGCCTCACCTTCATGTGGCTCAGTCGAGATCTGCTTTTGCAGAGGGCAATTCTCGGTGGACAAACCTCGACCTCGACCCGGTGCCCCTGCATCGCCGCAAATGGGGCCCTCTCAGTTTCATCTGTAGGACTATCCTATATTAACTTTTGTGTACTCCAGCTGACTAGGGTTAGCTTACTGGATTTCTGATGCTTTCAATGCAGCCACATGGCAGTTTGCTAGTAGCATCATTGCTGTCGGCCTCAGCTGGCGGGAGTCGCTGGCCATTGTCGCCATATCGTTCTTCATTATGTCATTTGTCATTGCCGGAAATGGAGCAGTGGGTGCGATCTATCATGTTCCCTTCCCAGTGATCGCGCGAGCCAGCTGGGGCTTCTGGGGATCATATGTCGCTATTATCTCCCGAGTCATCCTGGCGCTCTTCTGGTTCGCCATCCAGAACGTCAACGGGGGTAATGCAGTGCGGGTCATGATTGGCGCCATCTGGCCCAGTTTCTTGAGACTGAAGAACGACATCCCCGAAGATCAGGGCATCACGACGAACGGCATGGTGAGCTACTTTATCTTCTGGCTCATTCAGCTGCCGTTTCTCTGCATCCATCCGAACAAAGTGCGATGGTTGTTCGTGGCCAAGTCGATCATTGTTCCGATCGCCTGGATTGCGATCCTGATCTGGGCGTTTGTCGCCGAGGGTGGAGGGGACATGTTTGCACAGAAGCCGACGGTCTCTGGTTCGCAGTACAGCTGGGTATTCTTGTCAAGCATGACCGCAGTTCTTGGGAATTACGCCACCCTGAGCGTTAATCAGGTATGCTTTCCATGTTGAGAATGAACTGCGAAAAGTGTCTAACGAGAAGCAGTCTGATTTCTCTCGATACTCGCGTGTCACCCCCAAATGGCAGCTGCTGTACGTGCCAATGCTGCCGATCATCTTTACCTTCATCTCCTTCGTTGGCATTGCCGCTTCATCGGCGGGTCAGGCCCGTTATGGTGGCACAATCCCGTGGGATCCGATCGAGTTGATCAGCCACTGGTCCAGCCGAGCGTGTCGGTTTTTCGCAGCATTCTCGTTTCTGCTGGCTTCCTTGGGCGTCAACATCTCTGCCAACTCCATCTCCGCGGCGAATGACCTGATGGCCCTGTTTCCGGAGCATGTCAACCTCAGGCGGGGCCAGATCATCTGTGGGTTGCTGTCCTGGGCGCTGGTGCCGTGGAAGATCCTCGAGTCGGCGGGCAACTTTATGAACTTCATGTCGGCATATGCGATCTTCCTGGGGCCGATTGCAGCGATCATGCTGTGGGACTTCTGGGTGCTGAAACGCGGCAAGTACGACACTCTGGCATTATACCAGCCACACAACCCGATCTACCGGTACACAGGGGGAGTCAATTGGCGCGCGATTGTTGGGTTTCTGGTGGGGGTGGTCCCGAGTCTTCCGGGGTTAATCAGTTCTGTGAACAGTAGCATCTCGGTCGGGGTAGGGGTCCATCCGTATCAGTTCGGATGGCTGCTGGGGTTTGTGGCCACCAGCATTGTGTACGTGGGGCTGTCCTTCTGGTTCCCGGCGCGCGAGTCTCTGATTGATAGGGCTGTGATGGCGGAAGAGATCTACGAGGCGCGGGAACCCGTGGAGGGAGTATCGGCTGGCTCGGACGAGGCGTTGCACGAACAAGAGAAGATGAAAGTGTAGTTAATCCCGAGGCAGCTAGAGTACAGTGAAGTACATCATTCCAGGTGGAGCTCCTATTATGACCCACAAGTCTATGAGAAAGATAACCAAACATGTCCATTTTTTACAATCCATAAAAGACGCCAATACCACGGACAAAAATGCAGAAAACACTTCAAACCTCCAACCCAGCACCCCTCGCATACCCCAACGCCTCCTTCAACACCTTACTAACCGCCGACGAAGCGCGACCAACCTCGCCGCCATCCTGCCTCGCACTCTCCACCCCTCGCTCGACAGCCTTCAAGAACCTTGCCGCAAACACCCGGAACCGATCCTCGCGGGTCTCATACATCTCGCCTTCCTCATCCCTCGGCTGCCCAAACAGATTCAGATAGACATAGGGCTGCGCCGTTTGGGGCACCATATGCGCCTCCACCTGCGCCAACGGGAACTCCCAGTTCCCAACCGCCGCACCAGCACCCCCGGCACCCTCCTCCATCACAACATCCTCCCCCTCCTCAGACGCCCCGATCCCAGCCTCCAAAAACTCAGCCAACACGCCCAGCACCTTAACCATGGGCCGCCCGGCACTCCCGGACTTCCCGAACGCCGCCCGCGAGGCCGACCACTTGGACGACTCCTCGGTATGCCAGCCCAGCACACTCAGAAAGCAATTGAGGGTCTTGATCCACCCGCCGGCGCAGCCCACGACCTCGGCGCCGGCGATCTCGACCAGCCACGCCAGGACCTCGACGGCGGTCACGCGGATCTCGGCCGCCAGGTGGGTCATGCCGGCGCGGATGAAGGGGAGGAGCTGGGCGACGTGGTCCTCGACGTCGCGCGGGGGCAGGGCGCGGAGGAGCTTGAGGAGCTGGGTGCGCACGGCGGTGTTGCCGTCCAGGATGAGCGGGGAGAGGGTCGGGAGGAGGGTACTTACGGGTTGCGGGAGACTCCCTCCACTAGGGCGGCTGTTGGTGAGGTGCGTCGTCAGGTGGGCGAGGGAATCGCGTCGCTGGGCGTCGGATTTCGAGCCCAGCAGGGAGACGTGGTGCGTGAATTGGGTGGTTGTTGTGGGCGCGGTTAGTGTGAGGGATTGTTGGGTTAGGGTTATGCCTGTTTTCTTTTTTTAGTAATCTTGCAGAACCAATTGAGAAGTTCGGGGAAAAGGGTGATTACTCTTCGCTTTGAAGCTTGTGTCGGTGAAGTTGTCGGGTTTGGCTTTGGTTTTGCCGACTTTTAGTTTGGCTTTCTAAGGGGTTGCGTTAGTATGGATGCATGGGAGAGGCACGGGGGAAAAAGGCGTACTTGGAAATCCTTCTGTTTCTCCTTCTTTTTCTTGGAGCTGGAGCCCATTGTGTCGATTTAATAGGGGGCTAACGCTGATGCGATTTTATTCGACTCCGTACAGCGTGTTCAGGGATTGAGATGTGCTGGTTGTCGTTGTCTTGCTGGATCTCGACTGGCCGTGGAATTTTTATACCCTCACGTGAGGTCATGTGAGACTGGCTTTGCCGCGTCATGATTGGGTGGCGGGAGTATAGACACCATCTGGGGTAGTGGATAGCAGGCATTGCAATTGAACATGTTGAGGTGTAACATGTGGTCTTGACCATAATTCACAAGTGTGTGTCTTGTATAGAACACCCCTGTCGATTCATAGATACATCTCATCCTGCCACAGCCAAAATACCTTAAGACAATAACTCCTTTCTCCAATGCCTGCACACAATCAATTGCTTACACAGATTAAAACCATCAAGTTCAACATCCATACAAACACCTATTTCCCCGGAGGAAAGCATGCAACCCCAATGGTGACACGAGTAGCACCTACCTTACCCTACCCTCTCCAGCAAGAACCACCCGATAAAAACCCCCCGAACAAGATCACACAACCAACCCCCATCATCAACAACCTCAACACCCTACAACCACCACCTTTTCCTGTGCCTCACACCCCTTCCCCCCTCCCCCTCATCCCTAAAATATCAATAACGATAAATATCCCCAAGAACCGAATCCAGAAGAATGCAATCCCAACTCCACCACCGACACCATGAATCCACCACCACCACCATCACAGCTACAACAACCACCACCCTCCCCCAGTCCCCAAACCCAACCACCCCCCCTCCCCAAATCAACTACACCCTCCCCAAACAAACCACCTGGCTCCACCCAGCAACCTACACGACCCTCCACCGCGAGACCTTCAACATCTACACGCACCTCCTGCCCGCGCTGTGCTTCCCCACGCTCGCCATCCTCGCTCCCCACCTGCCGCGCCTGCACATCCTCAGCTCCACCGCCTGCCTGCTGCTGTCGGCCGCCTACCACGCCAACAACGGGCACTCGGCCTACGCGTTGAAAGCGGACTACTGCGGGATTCTGGGGTTGCTGGTGAGTAACTTTGGGACGGGGTTGCATTATGCGTTCGTGGAGGCCCACGGGGTGGACGAGGAGGGAAGAAGGTGGTGGCGGAATGTTTATATTGCTATCGTGAGTGGGCCCCCTTCACCTACTAGACAGTGAGAGAGTTATAGCGGACGCGGGTGAGCACATGGCTAATGAGAACGGGTTGTGATGATGGCGGTGACGACGGGGGAATAGACCATCCTCCTCACCCTCCCCTCGCTGGGCTTGCATCTTCATCCTGCTGCGGCGGCGGCTGCTTCGGCTTTATCGTCACGCATACCTATACCCACCACAGTGAACAGCACAGTCAACAGTGCAGCCCGCAACGACCCCCACCGCACCCTCCGCGTCACCGCCCTCATCTGCACCGGCTTGAGCGCCCTCGTCCCCATCACCCACCTGTACCTCCTGCACGACGCCCGCTACCTCCTCGCCGTCGGCGTGGGGTGGTATGCCCTCGAGGGGATGGCGTTGATCCTCGGGGCCGTGGTGTATCTGGTTAGTTTTCTCTCCTCTTACAAACTCTTTGCATATTCACCCCCTATATACAAACCAAAGACAATGCCGTGGAGAGAACATAAGCAAAATGGCTAATATGAACCGACCAACAGAACAAAATCCCCGAACGATGGTACCCGCACAGTAAGGTCTTCATGCTGTGGTCGTCCCATGCCTTCTGGCATGTACTCGTGCTCGTCGGGATGGTGGCGCATACGATGGGGTTGGCTTGTGCGATGGGTGTCGAGACGGGAGGGGATTGATGTTTCGAAAGGTGACTTAGAACTGACTGGGTTGGAGACTGGACTTTCCAGATTGAAGGGGTGAGATTGGGGATAATGGGTCCTTGCCATGTTTTCGCCTTGAATTTCTGGGTTCGGTTTGGACGGACTCGTAAAGCCAAGAAGAGAGGAATCGACAGTCGGGCAGCTGCGGTAGATGCGGTAGGTTCAGTCTGAGTGTGGATGGGAGATGGCCACGATCCCGAGTATCCTCCAGGCGAGGATGGTGCCTTTAGCAGTCGCGAGATTAGACTGACATTAGACTGCAAACTAATACTACTAACATTCTTACCTGAACCCCTGCTACCACCCTAGACACCAATCAAACCTACAGATCTACTACCTTATCCCACCAAAGAAAAACAATACCATAATCATCAATCTCGAATTCCACTAAGCCTAACAAAACCATAAAAAGAAGCCATCGACATAAACATAAAGCATAAACTCATCCATGAAACTCTATCCGCATATAACAAAGGTCAAAAACCAAACAATGAGATGCGCACTTCTGCCCGGTCCCAAGTCTCAATAGAAAAAAACCAAATCAAAGACGAAAAAAGCAAAACAAAACAAGAGACCGAGAGCCGGGACAGACGCGATTGTATCAAGCAAGATAAAACAAATCACACACACAAAGTTCACAACAACGACATCAAGCTGATAATTCCGCCCTTGGAGAGAAAAAGAGAAAAGGGAGGGTCATCATCATCCGGATCTTTTCACCTTTCGCCCGATAACAAACGTCACGCCATTAATCTGTTGCTTCTGGCCATCCCCCGAAAAGAGATAAGGGAAATTCGACATGTCGACTCAAGAAAGAGTTCATTAAAAACAGTCACGCTGCGCATCCACTCGGCTAGCGAGAATATGCAATCGGCTTGGATTCGGCGGAGACTGGAGTCGACGTGGTCATCATGTTTATATCATGGTAAGGGTTTTGAAGGAGTGTTGATAGGGTGGTCGACGATGAAATGTATCGAAAGTCGACGATTATCGAGATTAAGATAAGAGGAAAAAAAGAAAAAAAAAGGTAAGTAATGAGCTGCCCTCACAGACTCATCGTCAACCATTCCCACTCTTGACTCGCTCCCTGTCCACCAGCAATACTATGGTTGACAGGGTTAGCGGCAGCAGGGGGCATGGCCGGGGCCAATGGCACCACCTTCGAACGACCCGCCGACGAGAGACCCGATTTGTTGGAATCGTCCATAGCATCCACGTCCGTGGCTTTTTCCAGCCGACGCTGACGCTTAGGCGCCACTTGAACCGAAGTGCGAGCCTGGCCGGGGGAGGATGTTGTCGGGGTGGATTTCGGAGGCGCAGCCGCAATAGGCACCACTCCCGCAGCACGGCTGGAGGACGGCGGGCCCCCGGGCATTGCAGGCGGGGACTCCGACGAGGTCGTGCCACTCTGAGCCCGGCTCGAGGTGGGCGTGGTCACACTCGCCTGTTGCACCGAGTTCTTGCGCGCCGACTTCTTCGACGACCGCGACGCACCGACCGCCAGACTGTTGGCACTGCTGCGGTTGCGCTTCTTGATCACGTCCGTCTTGAGTGACAGGGGCCGCACCACACCATGCAGCTTTAGGAACAAGCCACAGGCGTTACACAGAGGCTGCCCTTCCGGGTTGCGACGCCACAAGGGAGTTGTTTGAGTGAAACAGTTCGTGCAAGTAGTCGGCCCGCTGCTCTCACCGTTCTTGGAGCCTCCGGGGCTGGCCGGACGGGAGGGAACGGCACTGCTCAAACCAGACTCGGGAGGGGTGTTGGGGGACGTATGAGAGGTATTATTGGCGCTCATGCTCTGACGTAACAGCTGAG